CATAGGTAATTTGGAAAAAGTAAAAGATTTATACAATCTGGTGTTGAAATGAATTTCATTTTATATCAGTGCATGACTCAAATAAACAACAGAGATAATGATGCTGACAACATTCATACAAAAAAAAAACCGAAACAAATGCAAAACAGAAGATAACCCAACATACAAAAGGCAGAAAAATAAATTCAAGGAGTAAAAAGTGCATTTTACGTATATTGTGTAAGGCAGCCGGGTCAAAATACGGCACTATATGAAAACCCTAACTATGTAATCAATTTCACTTATTTACAGTCATAATATTATATCAAAATATTGTTTATTTTCCATAAAGTAAAAATAGGCTCTATAAAGTCCATTCACATTTAACTGACTTAAAGGTAATAGAAAAACAGAAAACCGAAACGCGACCTCTAAATGTTGTGTAGCTAATTCAGGTCAAATTCAGGTCCTGATTCATCTATTCATCATTCAGAAATATGTTTGCATGAAGCCTCTATGATTCATCATCACTCTCACTGTTGTTGCTCAGATTTGTCCTTTGCACCTCCAGCTCCTCTGCGCTGACCATCTCTGGACTGATGGCGGCGTACCGTGTCCCATGAAACTGGCGCAGGTGTATCTACAGATTAACAGTGCAAATTAACCAGAGTAACAATGCAAATTAAGCACCTGAAATCACAACCCTATTTTAACGATCTAAGCACATGGTCTAAAGCGCACGTGTCCAATCCAATTTTGCTAGTTTGATGACGGGATAAATGAATAATGGGTGTGTTTTGGGCGTAACATGCAATAAACCAATCAGAGTCTCATCTCTCATTCCCTTTAAAAGCCAGTTGCACTCGCGCCGTGGCGGATTCGCTATTTGCAAGCGGAAAAACTGAACGCTTCTCCAGAGAGCAAACGGATCTGCTCGTGCGCACTTTAAATAACCAAAATTAATAAATACTGCGCCATTGACTTTAGACCAGGTTTTTGTTGGTCAATGACAGTCTATTTCAGTTGCCTCAAAATAGCAACGCACCAACAACACGCCTGAACACACCACGTTTTCAGACCATATGCGCACAAATGGGCAAAAATGCATTTGCTATTTAAACAATGTGCTGCAAGACTTGAAAATGATAACTGCGTCAGGCTGAAACCAGCAAAAAAACACGTTCATCATCACACTGCATACACTGGGCCCTAGGGCTAGGTGTGTCGTTTTTATTGCTACTCAAAGATTTTAAGCTTGGGTATCATAAAAGTGCTCCATATGTCTTCAAAACAGACTAAGATTTATGTTGTTATTCACTAGCTTTGTTTCCATCCAAAGTTTCACATTTTTCGCATTAAACATCTGTGAATAAAGCAACATTTCCATCCCATGTTCAAGAGAACAAAATAATCACTTCCTGAGAAATTGGCACACTATCTGTTATAAAAATAGAAGTTGCTGGAATGGGGAAAGCCACAGTGGCTATTTTTTCCAACATTATGAATGACTTTCGCCTGAGAACGCACAGATGAAAAGCAATAAACGCTGTCATGTTATTTGCCGTTCGGAGGCAAATGACTGGTGTTTGAGAACGCAATCATGTGGGACAGTTCTGGAGAACATTATACCAAATCATTAGGATGACAGAATTTGGCTCAGGCATTTCAGAATGATCAAACCAACATTTAAGATGCTGTGCAATGAAATTGGCCCACTTATCTAATCCAGCAGTCCAGTCCAATCACATCCTCAGTTGAGGAAATTCTAATTTTTTTGCTACACATCGAGGGATTATTTAGCAAATGTGTTTCCATTGTAGTTTATGCACACGTCTTCTTATTGGATGATTTTTGCTTCTTTTTTGAAGCTTCAAATTTTCTTCATACATATACCACAGAAGAAAGAAAATCATTGGAGTTTGGAACAACGACAGGGTGAGTAAATTATACAAATTTAAATTTAAGTTGAAATGTTCCTTTAAACAACTTGAAAAAGTGGACTCACTTGTATGTACAGGTTAACTTCTGCGCTTCTGCACAGATAGGGGAAGTTTCCGCCGGTTTTGAGATGAGCTCTTCGAGCATTTGGGTACAGCTTATACATCTCTTCCTTTGCCTCATGTGATAGGGCACTCTGATCAAAAACCTAAGAGAAAAGAAGGTCAAAATCATTTAAACTGTTTTTAACAGTTTCATTTTCTAGCCTATTTATAAAAAAAAAGACCTACATCCATTATGGTGACAGCAACATCCTTTATCTTGTGAGGTTCCACGTAGGAATTTTGGCAATTCAGCGTGAGTCGAGAAGCCAGTTCACTCTGGTTCAGGCTTTCCAGCTGAAGCACAAATAAACAAAGCACACTTTGTTGATAAATGAGCAAAGACTGAGACAAATTTATCTTCACAGAAGTTCACACGTCAGTATAAGATCTATTACTAACAACATCAATCCAGCTCAAGTACAAACACTAGATTTGGCTTGATTTATGTGTTTTTACTACCCAATAAATATTTCAGTACAATTATTTCAGCACACGTCAGTATAAGATCTATTACTAACTACATCAATCCAGCTCAAGTACAAACACTAGATTTGGTTTTACTACCCAATAAAATATTTCAGTACAATTAATGTTAGAACATTTACATGTTTAACAAAATCCGGGTAGTTTTTCTTGGTAAATGTCCTTGTGGGAAAAAATTGACATGGATATTTTTCTGTGGCTATTTTTTTTTTTTTTTTTTAATGGAGGTAGTTCAAAAGTTGTAATTAATAAATGATGTCATCAAAACTTCCAAAACAGTCAGAATAGTAGAAGTACTCACTCTGTCCACCATAAAGTCAATTGCATCTGCCATTTTTGGGTCCACAGGTCCTTTGGCGAAGTTACCAAGCACAATCTTTTTGAGCATGAACGCAGGCATCAACCAGAAACTAGAAAAGAAAGAGAATGAGAAAAAGTCCACAAGGATGGAGACATTACTACTGGGAAAGTTATCAGTATTCTGTAAGTCTTTACCTGTTTGCTGCCCATGTCTGGTTGAAGATCGATGTGTCACTAAATGAGTTGCACAGGACTAGAGAGTGAACTCTGGGAGATTTATGTGTGACTTCAGCAAATTTCTGAGCCAGGAATCCACCCAGAGAGGCACCGAACAAGTGCACCTGCACAGAGACACAAAACAAAAACAGGTTGTGAAAGAGACTTGTGAATTCCCATCTTGCATGCATATAAAATAAACAATTTCCCATACCTTGTCAAGTTGTAAGTGGTCTAAAAGCTTCCTGAATCCATCACAAAATTCCAGCAGATCCCAATAGACAGGATACTGGAGCTGTGTAAAGCAATATCAAGTTACAAGCAAGCAATAATATCAGAAGAGCAGCACAAGGGCATGTTGTTTACATAAATGACCATGTTTGGAATGGCAAGCAACCGAATAAACCCTATTGATTAACAAATATCTTTTATAGCAGCCATGTCCATCTCTAGTTGGTGTCTGAGAGAGCATACTGAAATGACGCGGTAGCCCCATCCGGAGAGAGCCAGGACCTGCTGGAAGAAAACCTCTGCGGTGCCGCTCACGGGTGGGAGGAAGATGATGGGACATCTGATATTTTTCGGCCCAGCATCATACAACGACCAGACTTTACTGTCATCATCATCCACAATTATCTAAAGACACAAAGGGAAAAATTCTCACAAATTAGCTACATTAGTATCATATGACCCAGAAGGGAAACAAAACATAATGTACATTTGATACAGCTGTCCTATGACTTTTTATTCTCGTTTTAATTCTACTAGGATCCTGTTTTCTGCCTCAATTGAAATAAAAACGAAGAGATAGATAGACTTACTCTTTTCAGAGGTACAGTGCTTCTGAACCAGTTATAATCGGGAGATACTCTTATCTCCTCCATTGCTGAAATGCAAATTAAATGTTTGATTAAATAGGTGCAAGCCTCTCGGAATAACTGACATGATCAACACAATTCTTGTAATTTAGATGAAAAGAAGAGGTATTCAGTGAAATTTCATTTCATGAAAAAAAAGAAACATCAACCTTTATTGACTTTACACCCCTTTCATGTATTTCACCATAGAAAACATGTGACTAGAGTACAAAACGGTCTGGTGAGTTAATACGACAACTGAACATACATACACAATTCCAGCAATTATAACACTATATAAAAATAATGGTATCTCTAAAATACTCATTAAAACAGTAATGAGAGTGTTTAAGATGTTCGAAAATACAATATATGCCCCTACTAAACTATTGTTTGTGTACGTTTCACGGCGACGTAAATCAGGAGACCATTTCGAGCAATAGCTGAGATAATGTTACCGTGTCGATTCATGAAATAAATCACCTTTTAATGCCTTTCATCCACAGGTTTGAAAAAACATTGTATCCTTTCGCTACATCACATGACAGCAGCTTCCGCAGCCAGAAGAAGCAAAGAGCGATTGACTGCCTACGATCACACCAGCCAATCAGCGACTGTTAACTGTGCGCGTGCGCATTGGAGAGCTCTATTAAAGGGATAGTTCACCCTAAAAATTACAGGGGAAAAAAATCTGTAATCTTTGATTCACTCTCATGTTGTTTAAAAAATGTATTTATATGGTAATATTTAAATGCTACTCAGAATGAAAAGTTTAATTTATTTTGAGTAATTGTGTTAATCTTGAAATAAACCCCGATAATAGCTTGTGTCCAATCACACGTACACGTTTGTACTTTTCTCTGTACAGTTACAGGACAGTTATTTATTTCTGTGGTGGGGAGTGTGTATTAGACAGGTGCGCAGTGTCGTAATTCAGTGTATTCGATTTCGATTGATTTATCGATTCATTTGATTCACTGGTGACGCAATTTATACATTGACGAAAGATAAGCGATTCACTGACCCGGTTGTTTGAATCTTCGCATATGGATTCACTCCTATGATTCACTCTATGGATTCACTCATAGATTCACTGACACAAATGATTCTCTGTCAGAATGATTCAGTGATTCAAAAGTGTCATCAGTTGTTTACTTGTTGTATCACAGTGACTCGTTCCGACAGCAGTGTGTGTTTAGTTCAGCTGCACATAGCAGCTTCCAAAATAACGTATTTCGTATATTAATATGTTTGATTGATTTTTATTTAATGTACATATTCTGTTTAAGTCATTTATTATTGTTGGGCCTATATTGAATGGCTTTCAGTGGGTTAGCTCTCAGCTAGCGCTAACCTACCCAGCGCTCCTCAAAATCAACCGATTCAGTTCGTCAAAAAACAAAACAATTCTGAAACATGTCGTGTACGTGTGCTTTAGCAGCGAGAAAACTCATAAATTCTGCTCATAAAGGTAAGAAGAAAGTCGTATTTTGAGAAATGTTGATGTTTGTTTCTTTCTTAGTCTAGTTTTGCTAGCGCTGGTGCGCTAACATATTAACAAACAAATCATACATGATGTTCAATGATACACAAACATTTACATCCACCCTCATATAGAAAAGTAGATTTAAATCCTTTATAAAGTAAAACAAAACAAAAAACATTATACGGTTGTTGACAAGTGCATCTATTGTAATGTTAGCCTACATATGAGAAATAACTATAACCAGATTGTTTATTAAAATGTTAACGTACAATAGTGATTTAATTTAGGAATGGTTATGATGTTTAAGGTGTCGTTATTTATTTGGCTGTTAGTGTTGCCTGGTTGTTATTTTAAATCGTTTTCTAGATTAATAAAATGAAAAATGAATAGTGTTCTTTGTCAGTAGTCTGATAAGAAACATTATTTTAATGGTTGGATATTTGATTTCTGTTCTAGTAAAGTGTAAATTTTGTTGCCAATATCCTGTAGAGGCACTCTAAACAACATGATAATGATTTCATAACTGGCATCATGTAATTGTTATTTTAAGTGAATTTCCTCCCGAAGGTCTCATGTTTGTGTTTATGTGACACAGGAATATCTGGCTCCAGAGTCCAGTTCTTGTCACTGAGCCTCCCGGGAGCTCGTGAGGTTCGTCTGGCACGCCGTATACCCGTCAGGTCATTCTCCGAGACTTCTGTGTACTTTGCTTCAAAAGATGGGATGAAAGATGGAGATGGTGGAAAGGTACGATGATAGATGATACTTGTCATACACTACCTATTCTCTGACAACAAGGGTTTAAGGAGGAAATAACAGCTTGCCAAGATAATTAAGTTCATCCTCTTTCTGGAATTTGTTTTTGATATATATATATACTTGTCTTCCTTTTAAGAAATCTGTTGGTGAAGGAAGTGGAAAGAGATCCAGCTCAAATAATTCTGGTAAAGGAGGAAGTCAGCTGAGATGCCCTAAATGTGGAGATCCTTGCACACATGTAGAAACATTTGTTTGTGAGTACTTGGTTTATTTTATATGGTTTAATTTTCTATTACCATTTCATTTTTATTTGATTTTGTTAATTTTTTCCCACATAATTGTTTGTCTGCTGTGTTTAATATGGGATTACTCAAGATGGTCACTTTTATTACCGACCTCGTTTCCAAAAAGTTATGGTTTATTTTGGCCTTGTGCATGTTTAAGTAGGCCAGAGTGTTAACTGAACTAACTGTTCAATGCTAAAAATAAATCACACACAAGTTGCTTTTTCATCTGCTGGTGCTTTAATTAGTAACAAGGTTTTAATGTTGCTCAGTTAAAAGTAACAAATTGAGATTGCGATTTAAGAAATTCTTTATTGCTTTCTTATTTTATTAAAGGAGTAGTTAACTTTTTAAAAAAACTTTTGCTGATAATTTACTCATCCCCATGTCATCCAAGATGTCCATGTCATTCTTTCTTCAGTCGAAAAGAAATTAAGGTTTTTGATGAAAACATTCCAGGATTTTTCAACATATAATGGAATTCAATGGGGACCAATTGGTTTAAGGTCCAAAATACAGTTTCAGTGCAAACTGTTCAAAGGGTTTTAAACGAATTCAGACGATGAATAAGGGTCTTATCAAGCGAAATGATCACTCATTTAAAAAAACAAAAAAAACAAAGCTAAGGTGTAATTATAAGCTCAAATGGTCGCCTTGCTCTGTACTGTGATGCGCGTTTGTGACTCCTGTTCGAACTCTGAACAAATCTTTTTCCGTGTCATTTGGTTGATTCAACAAACAAAATTAACAAATTGACTCGGAAAAAGATTCGTTCATAAGTTTAACGAGTTTGAACAGGAGAGTCACGAACACGCATCACAGAACAGAGCAAGGCGACCATTTGAGCTTATAAAACTTAAACTTTCTTTTTTTAAATGAGCGATCGTTTCGATTGATAAGACCCTTATTCATCGTCTAAAATTGTTTAAAGCCCTTTGAACAGTTTGCAGTTGGCACTGAAACTGTCTTTTGGACCTTGAACCGTTTGGTTACCATTGAAGTGCATTATATGGAGAAAAATCCTCGAATGTTTTCATCAAAAACCTTAATTTCTTTCTGACTGAAGAAAGAATGATATGGATATCTTGGATTGCATTGGGGTGAGTAAATTATCAGCAAAAGTTTTTTTTTTTTTTTTTTAAGTGAACTACTCCTTTAATGTTGTAATTGTTGTTGTTATTATTATTAAATATTCTAACAATATTTCAGTTTCAATTAATCATTCAGCTCTAGTTAAAAGTGAGTAACAGTCCCATTATTTTAATAAAATTACACTAAGATGTTATTTCCCTATTGTGTAGCATCAACTCGCTTTGTGAAATGTGAAAAAATGCCATCACTTTTTCGTGGTGCTTTCCGAAACGGACACTAAGAAGAGTTTGAGTAAAGACCCAGAATCCGCAGCAGAAGCTGTCAAGATGGCTTTCCAACAGAAACCCCCTCCACCACCTAAAAAAGTTGGTTATTCATTTAATTTTACTTTGAGATTTTAAAGCAGTATTACACACTGTGATATGGTTATCTAGCTGGTTGTCTCCATCTCTTTGTTTTTATTTTCTCGCAGATCTATGCTTATCTGGATAAGTATGTTGTGGGTCAGGACCATGCTAAGAAGGTTCTGGCGGTGGCCGTTTACAACCATTATAAACGCATCTACAACAACATGCCCACGGGCTCCAGACAGCAGCAGGTGGAGGCGGAGAAACAGGCCTCCCTCACTCCTCGAGGTTTGTGTGTGTGTGTGTGTGTGTGTGTGTGCGTGCGTAAAACACACATGGAAGGTAGGAGCAGGTGGTTTTCACTAAACGGGTCTTATGTAAGAGAAACACGGCCATTAGGAAATGAATCTGTTACAGGATACAAATTAAATTCTTGTCCTCGAAAAGCCTGGTTTCAGCTGAAAGCAAAATGAAGAAGTGACTCTTTGGGCAATAGTAGGGATGATCGCTGCGACTTCTACTCTCCATTTCTAATGAATATACTGTTTTACCTAGAAATATGCCACATTAGTTCCATTGCATTCCGGTTATACAGTGTTTCTAATAAAGGATATGACAGTTTGCCACTGTGTTCCTTCTTGAATCTTCTAATCTTCTCCTCCAGAAGCCAAAATAACCTTTGTGTTCATTAGTATCTAATCCAACAGTAGCATTTTATGATATCTGTCATCTTTTGGCATTTGTACAATTCAGAAGCATTTTTGCAGCAGTTTACTAAATTGATCAGGGTTTTTTTTTTATAACTGTCCTCCTTTCTCTGTAGAGCTAGAGCTAAGACGACGAGAGGACGAATACAGGTTTACAAGTAAGTGTGTCCACATCCATAATCTTATTGTCCATGAAGTATGTCATTTAAACCATTTATTTTTCGAAAACAAGTTTGTTTTATGTTGCTTCAGTTTGCTTTGATTTATGTTGGGTGTTGTACAAATGCCAAAAAATCACGTAGTCCGTTTTCTTCCTTTCCTTTACCCCTTTTTATTGTTGAAATGTTATATCATTGCATAATTACGTAAGTGGCAATGCATGCATCAGAAAGACTGCTGGTTCATGTGTCGCTTTTGTCAAATGCAGCTTTCAGAGGTCCTTGTCACATGAAATCCCTGTAGATCCTGTGATTAGAGCAGCTGTGCACACTAAGCAAATTGACCTTACCAGTTCACAGTGCATGATGCAACTAGTCTTTACTGAAGAAAAGAGTAAACATTTCGGTGCTGTTATAACTATAAATATTATAAATATTATTAATATACTTATTTGCGATTTGCAAAACCTTTATATTAAATATTCAGTTTTCGTTTTAGATTTTGCTTGAATATTTTTT